CGGGGGTTATTCCTTATCTTATTTTCTCAACAATTCTAAACATACCAAAATAGAGTCTATCACGGATACTTAAAAATTTGTTCAAACTTCCCATGAAGATTTTGCGAATGAGAAAGACTAATTGACTAAAACTATTAGGGGTCGTTTGGTAGAGTGTATTAGGAAAAATAATGCATGCATTAGCCTTGTGTATTCCTAGTACCTTGTTTGGTACTCTTTTATAATTTATGTATAACTAATGCTTGCATTAGTTATACACTCTATTGTGTATTAAGGTGTGCATTACTAATACCATAGATTTATAGGTATTAGCAATGCAATGGTTTTAATGCATGCATTAACTCAATTAAAGACCCAATTATCCCTCAAAACATTTTATACATCTTTTCCACCATAATAGTGGAGGGTATCTTTGTAAATAATTTTTTTTATGCAATAAATGCTATTTTTAATGCATCAAACCAAACAATGCATAAAAACAATTTATGTATAATTAACGCAAGCATAACTAATACATGCATTACTAATACAAGCATTACTATTACACTCTATTTAGCATTATTTTTATGCACTCTACCAAGCGACCCCTTAAAACATAAAAATTGCAGATCTCATTTTGATAATTATGCAAAACCAAACCACAAATGTTCAAGCAAATATGGAGTTTAAACCATGGTAATGAATCTATGGTATTCCACAATTCTAGGGGAACTCAGACATAGATCCCTTAAAGTTATGAAAAGTGACATTAAGACGTCAGACCTGGCTTTGCAAGAGGTTAAGGACTGCAGAACCAACACAGTTATTGGCTGCAGCCTTTTTCACCACCATAGACAGTGCTTGCATTGAACCCATCATTGGCTGCAAGAAATAGCTTCATAAGCACCAATGACGATGAGTCAAACTAAATGGAAATTAAACTAGTTTAAGCAGCGTTACCTGGCAGTAAAACCATAATCCTTGTATGGAAAGTTTTCCTAAGCGAAATTGATGTTCAAGCTGTGCCACCATTGCTTGGTAGTCCTGGAAAAAATATATTCTAGACTTCAATTAGCTGTCCCTTTTTAGTTTCCTTTATTATTCTTTCTATTACTACTACATTGCACATGTATGTCCACACAACATGGGACAATTATGGAAACAACTCATGGCATCCAAAAACCTTAGATAATCTTCTGAAAGTCACATTAATCCATCCACAAAAAGAGATTATTATTTTATAAGGTAAATAATTTTTTTAGTAATAATTGAAAAATTCTACCATATACAAGCTATACCAAGGAGGAGAGAATCTACAATATCCAAAAAGAGATTAAACATATCATGAAGATGATTCCATCCTCCCAGATATGATTTCTCAAATATAAAATTTATATATCCTCAAGAAGAGCTTATACATAAGATGGATAATATACCAGATAAACAAGTAGAGAAAAGAATAATCCACCATGCAACCATAGAAGGATCAATAAATAAGAAACTTACAAGGAGGAGTGCCCTTAGAGCTGCAGCAAAGGCATGATTGACTAGGCCCGTCTTGAACTGTGACCTTGTCTCCACAAACTGGTTAATCAAGATATAACTTTCGCATAACGGGAACAGCCTTTTTGCAAACTCCTACAATAATAGTCCAAATTATTTCAGCTAATGTTTAAACTAAATACAATATGGATTTTCCTTCACGTTTACTCAACTTTTAGCCTCAAAATATTTTGTTGCTTTAGAACACTATATATCAGGGATGAAATGTCTCATTTTTTCCTTAGCTATTCTTACTGAAAACATATCACCCTATATGTACCTGAAGAGCTAAATCCATAGATGCATCAACCTGAAAGGTTATGTCATCCTCCTTCCCTCGGACTTTCTTGATAGAAATATAGCGTCCTTCAATTCCAATCAGGGTAGATAGAAGATCATCAATAACAATCAATTCCTGCATAAGAGTTAAGACAATATTTTAATAAATGATGGTGACCCTGACCAAACTTAAAACCAAGATCGTCAAGTTCATATAGGACATAACATTTTAACAAGAAATACCATTTAGATGGGCCACAATATAATAGTCCTCACTATCCTTAACCTTTAAAGCTTAAAGCAAAAAAAATATACAAATATTCACAGGACTTTAAATTGCAAACAATACCAACACACACACAAGAGGAAGACATGACATATGTTGACTACTACAGTCTCATTAGAACTTATGATCCAGGTGTATACATTTGGAGTCAAATATATAACTTCTTCTTACTGGCATTATACTAGATGATAACAATAAGAGTGACAACCAACAATAATATGAACAAAAATTATAAAAAGATGGACAAGGAACAATCTATTTGATTCAACAGAGGAATACCTGAATGGTGGCATGGTAACAACCTATAGCTTTATCTGCTCCGGAACTGCATTAAAAATTCCAGACAGAAACAGAAAATAAGTAGGAGATGTACCAAATAGGAGTCACCAATTTGAATTAAAAAAGCAAATCAAACACACCAAGATAAAACACATTAATAAAAAAAGAAAATTGAATTGTAATAGCAGAAAGCCAAGGAACAAAAGGGGAACCTTGAGTCCGCAGAAACCCCCTTGTATTCAGTAGTTCCAGGCGTAATCTTTGTTTCCTGTATGTATTTTCAAGGGGCAAAATAGTTTCAATTCAACATAGTACATCAAGCAAAAGAAGAAAAGAAGGGTGGAAAACCAAGAGAGCAGCATTCATGAAGAGTCGAAAAGTCCAAGAAAATGAAGGTTTTAGATAATGGCATGAAGGGGTTTTTTGCATACATATGTCAAGCAATAAAATGGTGAATACCTGATAAAATTGGCCAGTAAGAAAAGGACGATCGAGATTCCAAGCAGGAGTTGATGGGCATAAAGAAATTGCAGCGGCTGAATCCATGTAATTCGTCTCAAATCTTGAAGTTGAAGTAAATGGGGATGACCCAACTCAGTTTCAGCACGCTGCCAAAAGGGAATTGCTCCACCGGCACTTCCGGTGACTGTTTGAAACCCACAATGCCACCGCAGTTCAATTCTGAACTCACGAAGGGGATGGGATAAACTTGAACTTTCAAGATTTCACAAAGTGTTTCTCCTTTTTGGGTTGATGTTCTGATTTAGCTGAAGATGAAATTTTTGGGAAAGCAAATTCAGTCGCACAGTTTAAACAAAAAGAGAACTGCGAATTTTGCCCAGAGATAGTATGAGTAGTTTTCTTTTGTAAAATAATAATATATATATATATATATATATATATAATTTCAAAAATCTCCCGACTTTGGTTTGCTAATTAAATTTTTAAATTTAAAAGGAAGGAGGTCAAAAATGTCCTTAAACTATGTGAAAGAAATAAAAATATCTTCCGTTTATAATTTGACTTAAAAATATTCTTACTATCAATATTTTGGTTTTAAAATGTCCCTGCAGTCAATATTTTGATCCAGAAATGCCCATATAGTTACTAAATGAGTCAAAAATGTCATTTTCTGAACAAATATATTATTATTTTTCCTTTTTAAACACATCTTCTTCCTAATTAAAATATAATTAAAGAACCATGTTCTTGTTTTCTTTCTTTTAAAATCACTTTAACAAATAAAAATGTAGGAAATATTTTTTTCTTCTTAATCTCATTTTATCAATTAAAATAGAATAATTTCATGTACCCTTTCGACATATAAATAATATATGTCATATATAAAATATCATAATATATTCATCATTAATTTATATTTATATTACGATAAAAATATTTATAAAAAAATAAGAAATATTTTCATTTTTTATTTTTTTTCTGAATTGAAGTAAGATAAATATTTGCTAATTTTCAGAAAAATATTATTAGAAAAAAAGAATGTGTTAAAAAATAAATAAATAATATATTTATTTGGAAAATGAACATTTTTGACCCATTAAATAATAATAAGGGCATACCAAAATATTGACGGCAAAGACATTTTTGGACCAAACTACAAACGAAAGACATTTTTGTTCCTTTCACATAGTTTAAGGACTTTTTGACCCTTTTCCCTAATTTAAATATTATTAATGTAAAAAATCATAATATGACCAATTTACCTTTATTAATACATACTACTATTATTTAATTACTTTCATAAACATATTTTATTCGTCAATGAACAAAGATTAAGTTAATGAATATTAAAGGGGGTATGAACTGACTTTTTTAAGTGACTTATAAGTTAAATATCCAAAATCATAAATTGAGAACATTCAACTTCAACTTTATTTTTGTTTTACTTTTTTCAACTTTAAAAAAGTGTTTAAAATGTATTTTATGTCATTCAAACACTTTCAAAAAAAAAACTAACTTAAAAGATAAAAATCACTAAAAATAAGTTAATTCAAACACTATTATTGTGATTTTTTCATATTAATAATAATTAAGTTAAAGAATTGTTACCAAAAAAATAAATAAATAAGAGAAATGTAATATCACACACCACAGATTTGTGAAACGAAACTAAACTTAACTTTAGGGGCATCTCAGAAATTTTCCCTAAAATTAAATAATACGAGTAGCTTTCTTCATTTTTTATCATCTTCAACTTTTGGCCTGCTAAAATACAGTTTGCCAAAGATAGTTGAATTTTTCACAAATTCTGTGTGCTTGAACTGATCTTCAAATAATATATAAGTTGAATTCAATTTTTCAATAAATTCAAAAAAGAAAGTGAGTTTAGAAATCTTAACAGTATGAATTTTGGAAAAACGTAAAATCTAATAGTAACCTTTAGCAAAACTTTCAAAATCTGTTTATTGTTTATTTCTCAAAAAGTGTTTTACGAAAAAAAAGTATTTTTTTAGAAAGAGTAATTATTTGTGTTTGATGAATGAATTTGAATTATTATTATTTTTTTTGTCATATCAAAGCAACAATAGAGTTCTTTGCACCTAAAACATGCATCATTTTGCACCTAAAACATGCATCATTTTGGTTTATGTGTAATGATTTACACCTAAATCTCTTTATTTTATTGCAATACAATAACACCTTTTTTCTTGATATGAAATACCCCTTGGGGACTATAGTTACAACAAACTTCATGAGATATATGTTATTTTACCTAAACATAAAATTAATTATGAATCACTCATAACATATGTCTAATTTGATATGGTATTATTAGCAGAATTATCTAACAAAGCCATGGAATCAGACGAAAATGTCATAGAACTTCCCATCATCTGATAAACAATAGGTGGAGATTGAAGAGGCTGATGAGGTACTTCTAGCAGTTCAATTTCACCTTTGAGCATTTCTAATACTTTACTCATCGAAGGGCGTTGTATCGGATTTGTTTGTATGCACCATAATGCAACTAAACTCAGCTTTTTAGCCATCTTCTTCTCATCATCATTCGCTTCTTCATCCACCACAATCTCCTTCCCCTTGTTGAACTTATCGTAAATATAATAAGGAAAATATTGGCTGGAATTCTCTTCATTTGCAACTTCATGTCTCTTCAAGTCCAGCATTTCTATTAGCAGCATTCCAAAGCTGTAAACATCAGCTTTGTAAGAGATTTCTCAAATGCTTCTGTTGATCAATTCTGGAGCAACATATCCAATAGTTCCACGAGCAGCTGTGAGATTTACAATGCTTTTATCTGTTGGATATAATTTCGCAAGCCCAAAATCAGAAATCTTTGGAATGACATTCTCATCCAAAAGAATGTTGTGTGGCTTGATGTCAAAATGCAAAATTCGTACATCACAGCCACGATGCAAATACCCAATTCCTCAAGCCACTCCAAGAATAATGTCAAACTTCCTCTGCCAACTTAACAGAGGACTTCCTTCTTGACTGGTGTTGATGTACTTATCGAGTGATCCGTTGGGCATGAAGTCATATATAAGAGCACGCTTTGTTCCTTCAACACAATACCCCACGAGTCCGACCACATTGACATGATGAATCCTTCCAACGGTAGCCACTTCATTCATGAAGTCTTGACAACCAGCTTTAGGCTTGCTCAACATCTTCACTGCTACATCTCTTCCACTTTGAAGCTTTCCTTTGTATACACTGCCATAACCTCCCTCACCTAATTTCTCTTTGAACCCTCTGGTCATTCTCTTTATGTGGGAGTAATTATATCTGATTGGCATGAAGTTGTTTTGTGTTCGCAAAAAGCCTTCAATAGTATCATACATTGACAAATGTCTCCTTTTGAATTTGTACACCAGAAATCCAATTATGAACGGTAGGTCGATCACACATTTTGCTCCCCAATAAGCTGCACGGTTGAGAAGTCATATAAAGTAACTTATGTTGTTCATCTTGTATTCCTAAGATACTTAGAACAAAACTTTGAAGAACTTGGTAAGAAACAACAAAGTTTAAAGAGCATTTTCACAACTAGAAAATTAAAACTAGTAGAGATAATAGAATCAA